TTACAGGCATGAGCTACCACGCCCCACGACAAGTACATCTTAAAACAGGAAGATTCCTTACCCACCCAGAGCACAGCTGACACCAGGTATTTACCTAATGCTTTAAGGGTGACAGAAGCAACAGAAGCCAGAGTGGCCTGCACAGCCAATATAAGAAGTCACTCTTGGAGCCCACATGATGGGATCTAATCCCGGGGCCTAGTCCAGCCCAGCAGACTTCCAGGTTGTTGGATGCAGCTTAATCCCTATCCACAAGACTCTCTGGCCTCCTAACCCTTCCATGTCCCGGCCCCCAGTTATTATTCTTTTTTCTTTTTTGAGACAAAGTCCCACTTTGTCACCCAGGCTGGAGTGCAGTGGCAAGAACATGGCTCAGTACAGCCTTGACCTCACAGTTTCAAATGATCCTTAAGCCTCAGCCTCCCAAGTAGCTGGGACTATGGGCACACACTACCATACTTGGTTAATTTTTGTATTTTTTGTGGAGAAGGGGGTCTCCCCATGTTGCCCAAGCTGGTCTTAAACACCTGAGCTCAAGTGATCTGCCCACCTTGACCTCCTAAAGTGCTGGGATTACAGGCATGAGCCACCGCACCTGGCCAGTGGCCCCCAATTCTTTTGGCTGAGTGAGAGAAGGGGATGCTCATTTATCACTCCGGGATGATCCATCATGGGAATATCCTTTGAGTAGTCTTTTAAATAGAAAACACTTTATCAAACTACAGAGTGACTTTCACGGCCCAGCTGAAACAGTCATAATAGCTAATGCCATGTTTTCCCAGTAGTTGAGTTCCTCATTATTAGATAGCACTATGTACAGAACCCCAAAATCCTAAACTAATTCCATATTTAGGAGAAAAAAGTTTATGTCATCCAGAGAACCGTCTTATTAAAGCCACATTATGTTCACTGTACCATAAAGATCATATAATAGGTTAACCAACTGCCCTGCATTTGTATTTTTTATGACTCCAGTATTTTCTCTGCAAAAAAAAAAAAAAAAGGATATTTTGTATTTGTTAATCTAAGGAGTTCATTTTAGTAATTGTCTCAAAGTAAAGGAAGTCAAAGCCTCTATCTCCAGACTGATAAAACTGCCAGCCAGTTCCAAACAGAAGTTCTCCCACTTACTGAGAACTTGTGGGAAATGAGAGTTCTGTCTTTATCAGGCACCTCTCTCAAGGGTAGGGACTTGAATCACCAGACTTGGTGATTCTGAGGAAACCACCACAAGTTTCTCTATTGTAGTTATAGAAAACCCACTGGACTTGAAGGCACAGAAGCCCTCATCCATCTGAGTGCAAACATTATGTGGAGAAATGAGCTCTGCTCTATGCTTGCAGAGGTAGTGGAACTGGCTGAGTCAATGCTTCGACACTCCTGCTGCTTCTTGGAAGTGCTGTGGTGTCTATATCTCAGTACAGCTTAGATTCCTTCTACGTGTAATCACTAGCTCTCTGGGTGTTGCCACTGGGTCACTGTAGCAGGTAACGCAGAGTTTAATGGAAACTAGTGCAGGAGGGGCATGCTGGCATGCCAGAGGAGGAGCTGGGAAAGGACGCATGTCTGCTGCCAGAGGAGGAGCTGGGAAAGATGCATGTCTAGTGCCAGAGGAAGAGCTGGGAAAGGACACATGTCTCCTGCCAGAGGAGGAGCTGGGAAAGGACTTGCAATGGTGATATCCCAGACTTGGGGTTGATAGAGACTGAAATGCCAAGAGGAGTTTGGTGTCAGCCCATCATATTCCGGTGTAATTGAATTGTTAATGTGGAAGGGTCAGCCCAGTGGCCTTTAAAGCAGATGTGCCTACCCCATGAGAGTTCCCAAGATGTTTCACTGAGGGTCAGGAAGATGAGGTATAAGACTTTTCTTTTGCCAGGTGTGGTGGCTCAAGCCTGTAATCCCAGCACTTGGGGAGGCCAAGGCGGGCAAATCATGAGGTCAGGAGATCGAGACCATCCTGGCTAACACGGTAAAGCCCCATCTCTACTAAAAATACAAAAAATTAGCTAGGCATGGTGGCATGTGCCTGTAGTCCCAGCTACTCAGGAGGCTGAGACAGGAGAATCTCTTGAACCCAGGAGGTGGAGGTTTCAGTGAGCCGAGATTGCACCACTGCGCTCCAGCCCAGCGACAGAGGGAGATTCTGTCTAAAAAAAAAAAAAAAAAAAAAGACTTTTCTTTTTATATGTGTTATCTAAAACAATGAGATTGTTACATTTAACATTTAATGCCTGCATTGATTCTGCCACCCTCACTCAGCACAGGTTAGCTAGACCTTGCCCTGAACCCTAGACAGGCATCTGAGGGCCTTCACTTGTCCCTTTGCTCTCAGTATACTGAAAATTACTGCAGATTGAGACTGGTGAGTGAATTTGTTGATTATATCTTTTTGTTTTTAGCTGCTTTCACTGATCTTATTCTTTCATGAGAAACCAATGAATAACTTAAGATTTTAAGATCATACAAGTAGTAATATAAGCCCAAATTAATTTTTTAATAGGCAGAGTTAACTCTGCCCCTACTACTAGGAAGATCTTTTTGTTAAATTAAGAAAGAGGAGGAAAAACTAGATTTGACATTGAACTCAATTACTCTCATTAAAAATACAACTGATATTTTTAGTGAGAACAAACAATTTTATGTCATTAATAGAAATTATTTTAAAATATTGCTTCGTTAATTTTCAGCTCATCTTTTTAACTTCAATTTTTTTAACCTTAAAGTAAAAGTGTATTAGTTAAAAAGAATAATGCATCTTGTCCATAAAAAATTAAAAGGCTTATGTCACACTTGAGTACTGGGCTCTGTCATTCACTGGCTGTGTGTAATCATAGGCTAGTCTCTGGATCTCAGTTTTCTTCTCTGTAAAATGTGAATAATAGTCCCTACCTCACAGATTTTGTTGAGAAGACTTGTTTTGAGAATGCCTGGTATAGCTTAGGGATCTCAGAGTTTTGATTCCTGTCCCCATAAGGGGACAACTTTGAACAGTTTGGGCCAGTTATTTTGCTAGTTGCCCTCAATATGGGTGTGGTCTTTAGTTCAATGCTGAGATGTGAGCACTAGAACAGGTAGGAAACACTTTTGATGAGGAGGTTTTTTGCAGCGTTGCCAGAGGCCCGCCTCCTCCATTGTGCAGAAGTCCTATCAACCTGCAAAAGGATGCCAGTCAGCCTGGAGTGGCTTCCCAGGGAAACGTTATTGAGCTGTATCTGCTTTTAGCAGCTGGTTGCACTTAGAAAGGAATTATTACATTTATGAAACTAATACTCAGAGAGCAGTAGACATGAATCCAACACACGCAATGAATCCAAATTGAATACCTCACTTTCAGCCTATACGTTCATGTACATATCACTGTAATTGCCATTTATAATCCAAGAGCGACAGTTATACATTTTTGGTGATTGCTTGGGAATTATCTGTAAAAGCTCTAGATTTTTAATTTTTGGTAATTTGGTATACAAAGATTTTAGGTACTCATTTAAAATACTAGTAACTTAGGTAAACAAGACCTTGAATTTAAAAAGTGTGTAATCAGATTCAAGTATGAATTTGGATATGTAGGATGTAAAATGCAAGCATATTCCTTTGAAAACTGCACAATTGTGAGAAAACTGCAGACCAAACCCATACTGAGGGACATTTAGCAAAATAAGTGGCTTAATGCTTTTCAACGCCGTCTAGGTCAAAGCTGCCTCTGCTTTGGTTCCAGATTAAAGGAGGCTAAAGGGACAGGACAAGTAAAGGTCATGGATGGTTCTCAATTGGCCCCTTGGACAATTGATGAAATCTAGATATCTCCAGATTAGAAAATAGTCTTTCCTCAATATTACTTTTTAAATTTTTATTAAAATTAATTAGATATAAATATGTGTGTGTGTATATATATATATACATATATATATATATATATACACACACACATATATATAGATATATAGATACAGAGAGAGAAAAAAGAATGATAAAGGAAATATGGTAAAACGGGAACATTTGGGTAATTTGGGTGCACCTGAAATTTTTGGTATTGTTTGCAACTTTCCTGAAAATCTGAAATAATTTTTGAAACACGCTCACCAACAAGTCTCCTGCCATTCTAAATAGTCACAGAACAGCATATCCACAAACCTGGCAGCAGCCTGCTCTCTGTCTCCCTGATTTATTTACAGAGCATTAAAAAGTCCTTTCCCCATTTTCCCGCTAGTACTGTAGGCCGAATGCATTACTTGCCTCTGGGACACATAATGTTTTTTCCTTTCTCTGTCATCCATAGAACTGAAAACTCCCTGTTGTTTCTAAGATATTCTGTATCAGACAAAGCATTAGCGCCTTTCCGCTTTGAGTTGTTGGTCTACAGGGAGAGAAGCTCCAAGATTTGGGCTTTGTTGTTCCTGTAATATCCCCCACACATAAATCCAACCATATGAGGAAAAAAGTTGTTCCTAGATAAAAAGAAAAACTCATTTTTAAATCATGACAAATAATAAAAAAAGAAATAGAAAAGACAACATGCAGTGGATTATATATCTAACAACAGTCTTTTAACCACAGTGTATAATTTGACTCAACAACAAAAACAACCAAATTACAAAATCTAAAAAAAAAAAAAAAAAAAAAAAAATAGAAAAAAAAAAAAAAAAGAAGAAGAAGAGCGGTATGTACCACCATCCATCTAGCTCCAGGAACCTGGAGGAAATCTGAGTAAGGGCTTTGACTCTGAGGAAATCTGAGTGAGGGCTCAGAGCCTCTCTTTGGGCTTAGACAATTCCCAAACATTGGCAGGAACATTCCATGAGGCCCCCTGCCCACATCAGAATAAATGTGGTGTCGTCTGTCCTTGTTTTCTCCATCCTTGTACGTCCTCCCAGTCTTGACTATTCTTAGAGAAAGTTTTCCCTGGGGTATAACGAAAGCCCCATACAAAAAAGTACACTAGTCACTTAAAGATGAAAGTATAAAATGAAGTAGAATAAAAACCAGTGGCATCCTCTTACCTTCAAATGGCAGTTGTGTGAAACAGATCCTGCGTCTACACCAGGTCCCTGAGGGTTTGAGCCTACCTCAATGCATCCAGAATATATAGGGAGAGGTTATAGATCTGGGTTTTTCATTACACAAGGTGTTTTTGATGAGTCCTCAGCCAAGATCCACTTAAAAACAAAAGCTACACAAAGACTACAAAAAGGCCACACAAAGTTTAAACAAAAGGCTAAAGAAAGACCAAACAAAAGCCAAAGAAAGTTTCAACAAAGAGCGAAACAGAGACAAAACAAAGGCCAAAGACAAAAACAAAGAGCAAAAGAAAATCTAAACAAAAGCTAAGCTAAGCTACACCCATATCACCCACACATACACACACATCCCCCACCTTCACTCTATAGCCCCCCAACATTCACATATTCCAGCCTCCTACCTCCCACAGAACCAACACCCCACATGAAAATTCACTCCTCAAGGTTCATTCATTAAGGTTGTTGGTCTACAGGGGGTGAAATTCCAAGATTTGGGCTTTGTTGTTCCATTAACATTCCCAGTTAAAGTCCAGTTAAGCCCCATGCTAGGTCCAACCACACCACACACCAAACCACACACCCTTCCCACCAACATGCTATGCACCACCGTGCCATCCCACCCAGTACCCCACACCTCACTCACACATCACAAATCACACACCCTTCCCACGAACATGCTACGCACAACAGTGCCAACCCACGCAGTACCCCACACCTCACTCACACATCACAAGCCATACCCATAAGCCATGAACACAGTTGCAATCACACTGACAATTCCAGGAGTTTCTATACTCCACGTAGATTAGATACTCATGCACACACTTCCTTCCCTAAAACACTCATATATACCCATAGATACACCCCAAAACTAACATTCACATGCCCTTGTACACTTGATTTAGCAAGAGTCTAATCCAGTCCAGTTGCAACTAACATTGAAATTGGAGGGTTCTATGACAATTATCCAGTGCATTCACATTTATAAAAACACATATAAGTCATCTCTTATGTTGAATAGTTTCCTCAAATGATGAATCTCATTCAATCAACATTTTATTGGCTTCAGTCTTAGACACTGGTATTTTCTTATAATTATCCTAAAATGTGGGGCCACACCTTTCTGTGCTCTGTTAAATGTCATGGGTCCTGTAAACTCTGCTTTTGCTGTCTATTTTATATATGCAGAACTACCCACTAATGATTTGAAAGATGAAAGCTTACTTCTGAAACCAATCCAACAAAGAGCAGCCTTGCCTTTTGAATTCCCAGAGGCCCCTGCATGACAGTGGAATATAAATGTCAACATTACCACCAAGTTTCTCTTTAGGCTCTTACCTCAGTAAAGAATCAGCCAGGAAGCCTTGAAGAGGTAATCTCTTGAGACTACAAACATTGACTATAAATCTCTTTGAACACTAACATATTTGTTTTTGTTTTTGTTTTGAGACAGAATCTCACTCTGTCCCCCAGGCTGGAGTACAGTGGTGTTATCTTGGCTCACTGCAACCTCCACCTCCCAAATTCAAGCAATTCTCCTGCCTCAGCCTCATGAGTAGCTGGGACTACAGGCACCCACCAGCAGGCCCGGCTAATTTTTGTATTTTTTAGTAGAACCAGGGTTTTGCCATGTTGCCCAGCCTGGTCTCAAACTCCTGACCTCGGGTGATCATCCTGCCTCGGCCTCCCAAAGTGCTGGAATTACAGGCGTGAGCCACTGTGCCTGTGCTCTTCATACACTCATTTGTAGTTAGTTAAACACTCTTTCTCTGTGTAATGAGTGATAGGCGTATGCTGGTGACTCACTCCCACTGTGAGGCCTGTATTTTGCTTGTGTTGTAGTGATTGTGGCTGAGGGCTGGGGAGTGGAGTAAGACCGTTGAGAGCTTGGGCTCTGGAGACCCTGACACTGGGATCATCACAGGCCCTACCTCAAAAATTCATGTGAACACTAAATCAGTTAAGACATGTGCACTGGTGGAAAGAATGCCTGGCACACAGAGTCCCGCAACAATGTCACTCTTATGGCCCTGGCCCTAAAGAAGGTCACAAACAGGTGTGGGTCACAAACAGGTATAAGGTCACAAACAGGTGTAAGGACTTGCCTTCTATTCACAAAATAACTGGGGACTAATTCAGGCTATTTAAAAAATACAAGATCTAGTAGATATATTATAAAGCGCTATCTTTATTAAAGGATCCTCTGCTTCTCAAATCTTTCCAACAAAAGTTCTTAATGACACATTTTGGGGAAGACACACCTTTGATCTACTCCACCATATATAGAATGATACACAATTTATGCATCCAAAGAATGGCGGTTCCACAAAAGGCTCACAGTGCCGTCTCTTTCTATTCCTACTTAAACATTGGTGTTTGCCCTCCGAGCGGCGGCACTCTCACTCCCAGAACGGTGCGGGGGAGGCCACGTCTGAGTCAGGGTCGCTCTTCCTGAATGGCAGCCCATGTTCCATGTAGAGCAAGACCTCCCAGACTCCAAGTGAACTCATAGTCACAATTAAGAAACTTGCTAACACTACAGAGGATTTTCCCACAGAAACTTTGGCTACAATTGACAATCCCCACATGTTACGAGTTAAAATGTGTCCCATCCGGCCAGGCACGGTGGCTCATGCCTGTAATCCCAGCACTCTGGAAGGCTGAGGTGGGCAGATCACCTGAGGTCAGGAGTTTGAGACCAGCCTGGCCAACATGGTGACACCCCATCTCTACTAAAAATACAAAAATTAGCCAGGCATGGTGGCGGGCACCTGTAATCCCAGCTACTCGGGAGGTTGAGACAGGAGAATCACTTGAACCTGGGAGGCAGAGGTTGCAGGGAGCTAAGATCACACCACTGCTCTCCAGCCTGGGCAACAAAGAACGAAACTCCGTCTCAAAAAATAATAATAAACAAATAAAATAAAATGTGTCTCATCCCCCACCTCTCGAATTCCTCTGTTGAAGTCCTAACCCCTAGTATCTCAGAATTTGGAATGAAGCCAGGTGCAGTGGCTCATGCCTGTAAGCCCAGCACTTTGGCCAAGAATTCAAGACCAGCCTGGCCAACAGAGCAAAAACCCATCTCTACTAAAAACACAAAGAAATTAGCCAAGTGTGGTGGCGTTCACCCAACATTACAGAGGATTTTAGCTCCCAGCTACTTGGGAGGCTAAGAGTCGAGAATCGTTGGAACCTGGGAGGCAGAGGTTGCAGTGAGCCAAATTGTGCCTCTGCGTTCCAGCCTGGGTGACAGAGCAAGACTCTGTCTTAAAAAAAAAAGGAAAGAAAAATCATGTGGATTCAAATAAGGATTTGAAGACAGATCACAGAGATGATCAAGTTAGGAAGTCGTTAGGGTGGGCCCTGATACAGCATGACTGGTGTCCTTACACAAAGCAGAAATTTGGACAGAAAGACACCTTGGGAGGGAGGACAATGTGAAGACACCAGGAGAAGATGGTCATCTACAAGCCAAGGAGGGAGCCTGGAGAACTCCCTTCATCCACAGCCCTCGGAGGACGCCAACCCTGCCCACACCTCGACCTCAAACCTCACGCTTTGAGAACTGTGAGACAATTCATTTCTGTTGCTTACATCACCCAGTTGGTGGTGCTTTATTTCAGCAGCCCTAGCAAACGAATATGCCACAGTGACAATAAGTGCTATTTTAACTGGTTTCTACATTTATCAAAATAACATTTGTGCAAAGTTATAATCATATCAAAAGGATTATGTTGGAAAATAATAGTTCCTTGTGCCACCTCGCCCCATGCAACACCCCAGCCACAGAGGCAACCATTTTTAACTTTCCGTAGCTATCTTTTCTCTATTTATTTCCATATTGCTACATAATTCACACAAACAGCCATTTATATACCTAGTTATGGCAGGTTATTGGCCTCCTTTTGAGGGTGTAGTCTTCTTACGTTCTACTTTTTCCTCTCCGTTTTCCCTTACCTACTGAATATAGTTAGTTTGTATTTATAGTACAATAAATATGTTAGTATTATTTCCTACAGAACTTTTGGATTAACTATGACTGTTCCCTTTCTTTGCATAACTTTCTTGTTCCTTTCTTGTTAATAATTGCCCCCCTTTTTAATTTCATTCATTTATTTTAATCTGCTTAGTTTTAAATGTTACTTTTCACTCATTTTTTCCCAAACATTCCAACAGATCTGTCAACTATCTATTAATAATGTTTAAGCATCCTGACACAGTGAATGATCTTACACGTCTTTGTCTTTTGTAACCGTCTATCACCTCATTGGGATTTCAGTCTGGTTGCTCTCTAGACCAGGTGCAGGCCTGGGTCCTCCCTTCCAGGCTTTGCTGGGAGAGATCACCCTGGATCCCACGCCATCCTCATCTTTGGTTTGTTCCCTTATTTTTCTGAAGCATGCCCTACAATACCTTTCTTAGAAGTATAGATGTATACTCTTTCTAAGAAAGGTATTGTAGGGCATGCTAAATATAATATATATATACATATATAATTTTTTTTTTCTTTTTTGAGATGGAGTCTCACTCTTGTTGCCTAGGCTGGAGTGCAATGGTGTGATCTTGGCTCACTGCAACCTCCTCCTCCCAAGTTGAAGCGATTCTCCCCCCTCAGCTCCTGAGTAGCTGGGATTACAGGTCATTCAGTTTCTTCAAAGAAAAGCTGTCTAGTTTTCAGCCTGACAGGGGCAGGGAAGATACAGAAGTTTGAACACCATGCTGTTGATCATGCTCTGTGATCAGAGTAGACAAGGGATCTGAGGGACCCACATGAGCGTGTGGACCTGTTTTGTTTATCAGCCCTGCCCATCACCCCTCATTCTCACTGTTCCTGAATCAGGAAATTTCTCCATAATAAACTTCCAGTGACCACAGCGAGTTAGTGTTGGTCTCAGCAATGACCCTGAGAATCCATTCTGAGAGTGCGGCTTGTCTAGGCTTGTTCCTTCCTTCCACTATACCGGGACGCTCTAAGTGTGGAGCCCCTCAGTGTTTTGACAGATAACTCCTGATGTGCTTTTCTTGGGCGGCGCTCCTGCAAGCGCTCAGATGGAAACTTCCTCCACTGTTTACATCCTCCTTCCGCTTCCTGTTTCCCAGAATTCGGTTATCATCTCTC